CATTCCTCTGCCTTCTCACACATACTTACTCTGTAAATACCCGTATGTAAAAAACACAGTGATTATTTTACAATATTTTTATAATCTTCAGCTGAAACTGCAAAAACTGAATGGTATCTCTAGGTAAACTTGGTGAAGTAAGACAGAAATTACAAGTTGACCTTATCAGTCCAGTGGCATAAACTGTGCTTTCTGTACGGTGAGAAAAAGCACTGGAGGAAGTAACAGTCACTGATAAACCTAAGTAAGAAATAAAAGCATTAGTCAGGGATCAGTTTCTTTAAAAAAATTCCAGTAGGGGTGTACTGCCACAGAGCTGTGTAGGAGATGTGCGATACATTTCTGGTGGCAAGACAATGAAATGTTGGAAGTGGGTGCTGGAAAATTAGCATTCACTGGCAACAGCACAGAGTTAGAAATATTGGACCATAAGGCATTTCAGGGAATTATGTCATACAGTTTCTTTCAAAATCAAATCTAGTCTTAGTTTGAGAGTACCACATTTACTTGAATATAAGGCAACCCTTATGTTTCTTCATCTATTCCAGGAGAAAAAACAGTGGTTTTAAAATTGGTCCAGAATCCCTCCAGGCCCACCTGATATAACAGTGAAGTTTATTCTAGACTGATGAAAATTCAGACAAAAACCTTGGGCTTAGGGAAGAGGATGACATTTACTCTCCTCCCCTCTTTTATCCACATATATATTAAATGCAGATCCTGCAAGGGAAAATGATGGAGAAGTGATCCCACTCACTGAAAGAATCATGTGTGTGGGGAGAGAAATTTGTGATTAGACAGGAGAAAAGAGGGCAAGAAGAAGATATAAAGGAGTAGGAGATGGAAGGAGACATTAAATAGCAGCAATGGATGAGAAGTGAAGCAAGTGTGAGGTGCTGGTTCCCTCACCTTCCGTGGGAATAAACATCATCGGTTTCCTTAGGGATTGTAGAATTTAAACTCGCCTGGTATTGAACAAACAGTACAAACGAACAGAAAAAAATAGCTGATGTAAGGGAGGAGCAGTAGTACCCCAGCCTAGAGCTGTGAAGGAAGCAGTATCTGCAAGATGTGAGCTGCTGTAGCAAAGATGTCTATGTCCTTAGTTACCTCTACCTTCTCCCAGATAGAGTCAGAGATGGCTGCCATATGTGATTACTTTTCAGTCATTGCTTCTTTTGCACCCCGTCCTTGTTTAGGATTCCTTGTTTAGGAAGGCTACTCCTGAATGTATGAGCTTCTTGAAGAGAAATAACCTTTGGAGTACCAGAAAAAACATTTATAGAAGGTTTATTCTTGTTAATTCTTTTGTCATTTAATAGCTCTTCTTGCTCCCTTGCTTGTATTAACCTCACCCAAAATACTTGGAGAGCATAATAATATGTCATGTTGGATTTTACTTTCATTAACCAAACAAGCCAATTTTGGTTGGCCAATAATTGCTCCAAGGTTCCCTAAACAACCCTTTAACAGTTTCTTTATGGTTTTGCTGCAGCTAGAATTTATTTGTTTTGTGTGTGTCAACTGGACCTGAACAAACAATTGCAGTTCAAATCTTTCCACTGCTTGGAATAGTTTAATGGGATTCTCCTGTCTTTTCCATGGGAATGGTAGCTCCTAGCCAGTGTGCAATCAAGTGGTGCAGATCTGGTTTTGCATGGAATAAAAAAAAACACAAGTAAAGTAAAGTAACCATACAAAGTTTGGCAAAATGCAGACCTTTGTAGTGCTTCTTGATGTTCCAGCTCTGTACTTCTGCTCTTCCAGGACTTTGAGCAGGACAGTGGCCATGTTGATACACAGCAGGCTTGAAATTCAGACAGCACAGCCATCTGGGTTTTTTTTCCATCTACAGGTATCCTACTGAGAGACTCAAAGTAGCATTCCTTTCAGAGATACCAGTAATTGCTGCCAAGTTTGCAGGTGTTGCCCCAGCTGGTTGGCCATCCTGGGCAAGGGTATCAGAACAGGGCTTGGCAGTTCAGTAGCTGGCTATGAATATACATGCCAGGAAGATGCTACTTCAACGCTGCAAAATTACACTCTTTCTCCTGCACCACCCTGTGCTTTGCTTTGCCTGAAGCCATCCATCTCTTATTTGACTGTGGCATTACTTGGTATTTTTCTGAAAAAACAGGCTCTGAGCTGCTGATGGTTTCCAGGCAATGCTCAAGACTGCCTTCATCAAAGTGCTCTAGACAAAGAAGTGCTCTAAAATAGCAGGGGAAAAACCCCAAAGCAATTAACTTAGAGCTAAAAGTCTTGTCATCACTGCTAAAATTCTCCATGTTTTATCACTTCAGACTTCAAGATGAGGTGATTGTGTATTTCTCCTATTAATATCTATGATTAATCACTTGGCTTGCTTACTTTGTATCTATATATACGGTTCTGCCTTAGCTGACATAGATCACCATGTTTTTCTATCATATATTAATCTGGGGAAAGGCAAGACAGAAAAGGGATTTCAGTAAGCTTGGCAAGTATAAACAGAGGCTTTTTCCACAAGACAAATAATGTTAGCACAATCAACCTGGAAACTAATCAAGACTGTAAAAGGGTGTCATTGAGACAAAGCTTAAATCTTAGAGAAACCTGTCAGAACTGGAGGCAGTTCTTGAAATAGCAGTAAATGTGGAAGAGAAGTAATTAATAAGGTGGACTTTCTGCACTTAAATGTAATAATAAATAAAAACTGTTAAAATGAAGAATTAAGAATGAAAAAAACTTAAAAAAAATCATCAGATTTTCTTGAAGTGACACTTCCTTTGTCCCAACAGTTCTGTTCCCCTACCCAGAATCTTATCTTTCCCAGTACTCATATTTTATTACTTATAGAAGTGCATGAAATATACAGTTCATTTATTTCACAAGTCAGTAAAGACATTCTTGATATTCCACATGTTTCTTTGTCCATGATTCTGTTCACACCTCTTATTCTCAAGTGAACACACTATTCTTTACCCCAGTATTCAGTGTGTATTTGTCTTCTTTTATATTTCTTCTCTTTTACTTTCATTCTTGGGGATTTCTGTGTTTGTACCCATGCTGCAGAAAAGTAGACTTCATGCAAGACAAATATGTGAACAAGCTGAAAGGCAGAGACAGATGGAATCATCTGTGATATCTAAACAAAATACTGTGAACATAATGAAACACTAAAGCATTTGCATTAGTGTGTGAGCTTGAGCTGAAAGAATAAAACTGATGAAACAGTTACTCATGTATAAAATTAAAGCCTTAGTTTCCTTGCTGTTGACCTGCCATTACTTCATGGAGTATCATTTCAGACTTTTAGAAGCTAATGAATATAGACTCCCAGCTAGTTGACATCAGTGAATACATACATATAAGCTACTTTTTGTTTATCCTTGCCTAGTTGGCATTAATTTTTATCTTTTTCACTCTAATAGAGAAGAAAGAATAGTTGTGGATCTCCATGTTCCCCCCTATCCCAACACCAGAGAGTACCTCTGTTTTATGATAGAAGTCTGTGCACATGGTTTTATTTTTAGTGGAAAATACATAGAATTTCACGTTTCAGAGCCAGCAGGTGAGGCTCAACCACAGCAATTGCAGTCCAGCGAAATTATGCAGCCTCGTCATAACTGTGCAGGTTCTTAGCATTGCAAACAACAAACCTCAGACTGTTGTCACTCTAACTAAAATCTTCTTAGCTCAGTGCCTTTAGCTTATGAGGTGATGTGTGGGAAATGAGAAATGGGCAACTGAGGAAGCTGTTCTTTTCTGCCTCGTGAGGCAGTATGCCTTGCTGCTACTCCCATAGTAATGATTCATGCTGGGTTTCCTATGATTGTGATTGGAGGAGGTTTGTCTTGATATTTAATTTGTCATCCTTGCTTTTCCCATAGCTGATTACTTTTAGAGGTCAAAATGTTGAAACAAGAATCTGTAAAACATGCATCTGTAGATTAAAATAAGTTTTGTAAATGTGCATCCTGACTCTAGAAAGATTAGATTGTTAGGTGAATGCTGTCTTTTATTCCAGCTTCTTCTGGGATACACTCGGTCCTAAATAATAGAGGTTTTATGAGAGGACAAACAACCCTTTGTTAAAGCAACTGCTTTAACATGGTTGATTTTATCATACTTTACAATTCTGTAACACACATTGGGAATATTTTGAGCTTCTTCAATTTTTTTGTGAGATTGGCATCTAGTGTAGTATCAATATCTTCCTCTTATGGTCATTGTAGTTTAATATCTCTCTATACATATGTAGCTTCTAGTAGCTACAACCTCACTTAAGCAGAAAATACAATGAGAACACTGAAAGACATCCTAGCAAGGAGTATGTTCCACCTGGGAAATCCCAATGTCACTGGCAGTGTACTGAGCAGTTAAACCTCATGTTTACAAGTTGATGGAATCTCAGGGAGTTAATGGAAGTATTTGCAGAACTTGAGATGAGGTGTATCCCTGCAAGATAGTACATGGTGCTGGACCTTGGGCAAGTGATGGATTAGAAGCATGCTGTTTTCATGTCACAAGTGAAGAACTCAGCCAAATATTGTATGTCCTATCCAGCTTACAGTCTGACTCTTTCTTTTCGATAGTACTAGCGTGGATGTGCTGGAATCTACATTTTTGGGGGGACAATTTTAGAATGGCTGCCGCATTTCTTCCCCGTTTTTCCGGTAACGCTGTCTGTGTTATGTGTGCAGTGTCTGCAGAGCAGCGGGACGCGGGCCCATGTTTTGGCAAGGCGGAGGGCTGGGAAGTTGCAGTAGCCACGTTCCGGAGAGGGCTCCGCGCCGCCTTCGCCCGTGACTCCGTGACACCGGCTCTCCCCGCCGAGCCGCCGGGCGCGGCGTTGCCGTGGAGACGGCGCCGCAGGGGCCGGGGGCGGGAGGNTGGTGCCGGGGCTGGGGGTGGGAGCGGCCGCCCGTGGAGCTGTGGGCGCTGCGGGATGCGCACGAAGTCGAGGGGTCTCACTGGCGGGGTGCGCCAGCAGCAGGAATCCTGCTGCATTCAGTGCCATGCATCAGCCCGGTGAGGGGAGAGCAGTGCGATCCGTGAGGGGCGCACCGCGATCTGCAGAGGTTTATCTCCGCCGTAGTCACATCGGAATTCTGGAAGAGCCGTCTCGGCTCCCAGTTCCCCACCATGAGGACCTTTCCCGGGTTGTTAGGCGATTTTCAGTCCAGAAAACGAGTGCTTTAAACTCAGTGCGCTAGGGTGAAATTCCGGAACAGCGAAGGCTCGCTTTCACTCTTTTGGAGTCTTCAAAGAATATCGGACGTGGGAATTTCTCAATAAATTGAAGGCTCTAGGGAAATCGGCTTCACAGCAGGTTCCTTAGTAAACTGGAGAATCCACTTGAGAGCTTCAGGAAATGAGAAGGAATAAAATCTATAAAATCAGTCAGATGGCATATAAATTGGTAGGTAAAAATGTGACATAGGTACCTATGAAAACTTTCTGCAGTCATATCCTTAGGAATTTGTATAGTTTGAAAAAAATAATTCATGCTACTGGACTTGTCTGACAGTGGAATGGAAACTCGTCCATGTTCCAAAGCAACAGAAACCTGGTATGATCTGCAAGGTAGAGGCAGCATTAGCAAGATGCTGTTTTTATAAGATTTAATGACAGTAGTTAAAAGTCTACAAAAGTTACCAATCATGTCCCTTGTATTTTGGCCATTTAAGAATTTGGATGTGCAATTGGCATATTACTGTGGGAGTCACAGATGTCTCTTCAAGCTGTTTAGGACATTTGAATTCAGTTTATTAACTTCCTTGCATGTGTGGCAATAACAGCTTCATCCTTGTCTCTGTCCTATCACTGGGGGTCACAGGTCAAGATACAGGAAAGAATGACTCCTTAATCATTAGGCTAGTTTTTATTTTTCTGTTGTCTTCTGTTCCATTAAAAAAATTCAAACAGAATAAACCCACACTTGCAGCTGTCTACATATCCAAGAAAGTGATGTTTCTGCCAAAAGTCTAAGTGATATTGTAATTTTTTGGGATATATACTTAAAAATTCTAGTTGGACACAGGATTATGTAAAATTAAAATAATGTACACCTTCTCACTGATTTAAAATCAATACCATATTTGTAGATATGATATATCATATTACAAATCCACTGAACTGTTGAAGAGGAGCAAGCATTTTGTCTCCAGAACTCCAGAACACCAGCTTCTCCTGGTGTTTTCGTGTCTTAGCTTCTTAATATTAACTGTAAAAGTCCCTATCTTTAGAGAACTGAAATAATCTTAATAAAACACAGTTGTTGGTGTGATGACTTGAGTAGTATCTTGGCACTTTAAGGTCAAGAAGACTAAATTTGCTATCAAGTATTTTAAAGACGTTTTAGACAGTATGCTTTGGGGTACTGCATTATAGGATTCCTTTGCAGACCATCTTCTAACAAGGAGGACAAACCCTGAAATGTAGGAATGTGTTGCTGATAAGCTGCATCTCTCTAAATATGAGTGAGCACACCCAAGTCAGGGCCAGCACCTACCTAGTGGATCTGTGGTTAAGTATCAGACATTTGTTATTGTTCAGAGCAGAGGTCTTGATTTGGTAGCTGTTTTGTATTAATTTCTAAGTGCAAGTGCCCATTCATTTCTAAATGCAAGTGAAATGAAATTTCAGAGTATTTCTACACCAAGGTGCACTGGGCTTTTAATTCAGCAGCTGATACTCTATACTCTACTAAGGTCTAAAAATTGAGTGTTCTAGAATAAAGTTGCAAAATCATTGGTAATTCAATGTACCTGGGTCACATGATGGTCTCTGTATTATATTCAGTATTTAATGGGTACTGCTATGCTGTGTAAGCTTGTAGACTGATCTTGTGGTACCTGGCTGGTGGAGAGCTCACCTATTTCAATGGTTAGAACACAGACAACTTGGGTGAGAGAAGTTGGCTTGCCAAACCAGCAAGAGCTTTTTTAGTTTCCTTTCATATAATAAAGAATTCAGTGTTCTGCTGGTGTAGTTCAGTCTGTTCGGGATGTGCAATACCGTCAGGCAAGCCAGGTAATTATGCACTGGGTGTGTGGTGGAAACCAACTGGGCCTTGGGCCAGTGCTGCTATTAAACATTTTTTTAGGAATTTTGAAACTAGGGAAATTTAGAGTAGTTCAGGACACTTTCTTAGTGCTGTATCCTATGTGTCTGCACATGTCTCTCATCTCACAGAAGGTAAGTGTATCAAGCCCTGTGGATCATATAGGCCAGACAGAGGTTGTCCAATCTTGTTCCTTTATCTGCCAGTCTGTCTCTCTTCCTCCAGTACCTCTCATTCCTGTTGCATAAAGACAAGTTCTTATCAATAGTTACTGTTGAGTGATATAACAGTTGTGAACAACCTTTTGTTGGATTGACCACATACATTATAGCATTCTTTAAGAGGGAAACATGGATTTCGTGTATGAACTATGTTCTGTTCCTAGTTGATAACATGTATTCCTGTGTTCATTGTCAGTATTGCACAGTCTTCTTTGAGCAGAAGTCTGATTGCATTAAAAATTCTCAAGTAACAGCTTTAAAGCATGCTGAGGATTTATACTGGCAGCTTAGGCTGTTGGATGCATTGACCAGGTAAGTACTGTTACAAGTTGGAACCATTGCTGTATTTTTCTTGTTATTGGTACTCCTTGTACTTTGATCTGTGAGCAGGGGAAGTAGAGACAGTGATGCAGTTGTTTAGGCATGTAATGAATACACTTCTTTCCAGACACAATGGGGAAGCTGCACAGCTGTGAATTCTGGTAGGGATACATAAAATGATGTCCTATTAAACATAATATCTAGTATTAATTCCTGATTTAATGATGGGTAGTCTCTCCATAACTACTTCATGTGATGGCCTTTACATTATGGCTGTGGACAAATATCTAAATTTGCTATTTGCTTTTTCCATCATTCATGCTGAATTATAAGGAATTACAAGGTAAAAGCTTCTGGAAGATGTGCTCATCTCTGTCATGTCATGTTAATCAAGGTGTCTTTATAAAGGCTTCATCTTCACTTTTGTTGGACTATATTTAGTATGTTGTCTTTGTAAAGATGGTTATGATACGTGTCAGTTTGAGATGGCGGTATTAGAATATTAGGGTTCTTAAGATGGTTAGAGAATATTGAGAAAGATTAGTATTTTAGGGTATACTTGTTAGTGCTGCACTTGCCTAAAAATAAGTATTTTAATTTTTGGTAGTCTGCATCTGGTTGATCCACTCCTAGATCTTACACTATTTGAAGTATGTGCAGTTAGTCAAACACATTTCTTTGAACAGGACAAACTACAGTCTTGTCCTGACATGTTTCAGTTTGCTTTCTGTATCTGAGTAACAAGACATGAACACTATAAAGCAGTTGGGAGGCAGAAGTATTATTGGTCATTGAATTTGTTCAGACTCAAATTCTTTAACCTGTTTTCCTCCTACAAGGTTTAATGGTAGCTTTCCCAAAACTTTGTTTTAGCAATACTTCCATCAGCTGTGCTCCACGGAAATACTGCAGATAGTAGAGCAGGTGTAGCTTCTTGGCAGTAGTTCAGCGTTACTGCAATTCCTGGCCACCTTGCTGTCTCAGGGGTAAAATGAGATGCTTATTGTGTGAAAGCAATGGCAGCAAAGTAGTTTATGCTGTCTTCTGTAGCAGAATGGAGAGTCTAACAAGTTCTACAGATAATGCTAACAAAACTTGATTATCTGTAAAGAATTAGTAATATATAAATACGAATACAAACTGCATGTTAGTCAGCCTGAAATGGCTAATAAACTACTTTTCAGAGAACAATATGTGTAGACCTCTACCATGCTTAAATTATGTTCTGTCACAGTCATTTGATGACTTCAAAACAAGCATGAGAAATCTCAACCAGATCTTCTGGCTTCGCAAAACATAAATGAGTGTCCTGAGCATCATGAGGGGAAGATTGCTGATCTAGTGAAGGTATTTGTAGTGTCTTAAAGTTGCAATTGATCTTTTTTGGAACTTCCATGCGTTATTAAGATTTTATAGGCCAACCCTTTAGAAAAAAATCCTACTTCTGCTAATAAGTCCTTCAGATTCATCATATTGAGATGATTTTTATTCTCAGTGTCTCAAGGCAAGCATCAGATATGTGTGTTCTTTGTGTGTGTGTTCTTGTGATTTGTTTTTCCAAAACAGTGCTTACTCTACCACAGTTACTATTATCTTTGCAGGACTCAACTAGATGTTGAGCCAGAATCTAAGGATATACACAGTCTTGGAGCCACAGAGATTGCAATGGCTTGTAATTCTGTAGCAGATCAGCAATTCTAATCAGGGAAGGCAATGACTCTTAACTAGAGCTGAGCAGAGTATTTCTGTCTCCTAGTTAATAAATGTTTTAAGTAGAATTTAGATATCACTTTTATGGAAATTTTTGTTGCAAAACATTTATTCTTCATGACTGTCTCATAAAGCTGTAATTTGATTGAAGGCTCTTAGCTAATCACTCTTTAAATCATTGCCTTTCAAATCTGGGCCTATGCAGTAGTGTACTTCAGAGAAGAGCATTATCTTATGATGTAACACTAGTTTACTGGTAGTTTTTCATTAGTGTAGGTGCCTTGGACATTGCTTTAGTTGAGGCTATGGTTTTCCAAAGTATTCCAGACCATATGAACAATGCAGCTATTCAACGAGACTAGAACTTAGTCTTTTTTCTCCTTTAGATATCTGTAATTTGGAAGCTGTTGAGGCCTCAAGTAGTTACTAAGGACTAAGGTCTCTGCTAATTCAGAAGTTAAAAGGTACTTAGCAAGGAAATCAGTGTAATGTGTTCATACCCAGCGTGCTGCGACTAGGTCTGGCACGGACCTTGCATGAGTATATGTATGTGTGTCTGTGTTTTACCAATGTGCACTTTGTATCTGAGGTAGTTTTGCACTGGAGAAGACTCTCAGGCTTCCCCATGTGTGATTATAGTGTTAGTAACAGTTAACTGTGACAGTGAACAAAGAAAGTGTGCTGTATTATTTAATGGGGAAAAAAACCCAGACTCCACCTCTATTTTTTTTTCTTCTTTATTAAAGATGCCATGAAACATGTATTTAAATGCCCTATTTAAAAGCCCTATTTAGGTGGAGGCTTTCTGTAAAAAAATTTTTGAAGAGTATGCTTCAAATGTTCGTGTTCAGGGTTTTGTGCTGTTCTTCCCTGCAAGGCTTTTTCAGAT